TTTGTATTTTGAGATCATGCAATGCGGATTTTTTTTATTATATCAACGTTTCCATGTGTATTAGTACATGTTGATTTGTAAAATGTTTTTGACAAACTCGATTGACCTTAATTTTTGTAGGTCCATAGAAAATAACTCAGTTACTAACATCTCTTTGCCACTATTTCGGGTTCATTTTTACATTTTGTGGTCCTACAATATGAATTTGTGATTATATCAATTTTTAATACATGCTGATTTTATAGAATTTTTTTGACGGGCTCTGATTGGTCTGAATTTTTGTAGGTCCATAAAAAACATCCTAGTGATCGATATTCATTCTTCGTTATGATTCCTTTTTAGGTGCTTTGGGGTCATGCTACACAAATTTTTGATTATATCAACGTGTGTATTAATTAGTACATGCTAATTTTATTTTTAGTCTTCCATCCTTTAGTATTTATGTAATGGTTGAGTACTTACCACCCTATCACTTCCTTTGGTGGTAGTGAATTAAACATACTGCTATGTGATATAAGTCAATAACCGCAGCTATTTATTCTTTCCAATTTATTTTTCAGCTTGCACACGGTTCAATTACTTGTCGTAATACATATTTTCTTCCTCAATACATATACAAAGGAATTTTGTTGATAAACAGTTAATAGGTGGGGAAAAATCATTTAGTTTTTTCTAGTTTGTGCTGGAGTATTTGAACATCGTTTCCCGTGATCAATTTTAACTTCATTAATTGCATAACTTTTAATATGATGTTATTTGAGAAACACAAAATTTAAGAGAAAAATAAAGACAATTAATTCATTAAATATATGTATGTGTGTGTGAAAATATGTAGCACGTAAAAATATTTTCTTGTTAATGCATAACGACGAGACTACAACATAGTATGGGGCACAATTACTGTCAGCAGTTACTTTAGACGGGAATAACAATATTTTTCCAATAATAGCTTATGCAATTGTCGAGAAGGAAAATAAAGAAACATGCAATGGTTCTTAACCTATTTGATGAATGATCTTGAGATTGATTGTATGACTGTTTTATTTGAATTAGGAGCATGTTTGGAAAGCCACGTTGGAAATGGATTTGGGTGTAATTGGGTGTAATTACACAGTTTGACATGTTTGTTTGGCCAAGTAATTACTTGATCAACATGAAATTGGGTGTAATTGGAGGGGTGTAATTACACTCTCCAATTCTAAAGGGGGAGGTGAGAATTGGTGGTAATTACATTGTGTAATTACAAGGTTGCTTTTTAGTTTCTTTCATTTTTGTTTTTATTTTTATTTATAACTTTTTATTTCTATTATTTTAATTTTTTAATTTTATTTTTACTTTTTAATTCTTTTAAAATTTTAAAATATATTTTTCTTTGTACATTGTTTATCTTTTATTTCTCTATCTTTACTTCTTGTGATTCCATGTAATTGCTTATATTCTATTTTTTATTTATTTTCTTATTTTATTTCTTGAAATTACACCTCCTAATATTAGAAATAATGAGTCATTGTCAAACTTGGCATATAATGAGTGATGCAATTAAAGTGGAATTTCGTTGTTAAATGTGGTTATAAGCTTATCATGTTCTTAATTTTAAGTTGCAGTGGAACTTACTATTATTATGTTGGAATTTGACATATGTTAAACTATTTTTTTAAAAAAAATTTGAAATTGTATTATATTCATGGTTCTAATTTACTTGTTTTAGTAGTATTGGCTCACATTGCATGTTGTTCATTTTTTAGTTAGAATTGATAGATTAGTTTTGTGAAACATTTGAATAATGTTACTACATTGTATTTAAAAATATTAACTTATTTGATCAAACATGAATTCCATGATGTTCTTACAAAATGTATATTTTTAATTTTTATAAGTATCTAAAATATTATTAATATATATATATATATATTAGTTATAGATATATGATTACTAAATTAATGTATATTCAAGAAAAAAATATACATCCTAAATACCAAATATAATATCATTTATACTTATAAAAATTTATAGGCATATATTTATTATATTAACTCTTAAGTTTCGTAATTATTTAATTTGAAATTTAATCTAATTGTGTAATTACACTTGCGCAACCAAACAGTAAACATGTAATTATACTATGACAAACAAACAGGTTGTCGTAATTACACAATTGTGTAATTACTACCCTAGTAATTACACCAATTCTAATTCCAATTACAGGGTGACTTTCCAAACAGACTCTAGATAAAAATGCATGTAAATGGCTTTCTACTAAATTGCAAAGTGAATGGTCAAGATCACATTTCTCTTCGCTTCCTAAGTGCGATATTCTTTTGAAAAACTTATGTGAGGCTAACTCTGAAACTTTTAGATACCATTAGGCACTTGCTCATGACTAGAATTAATTCAAATAGAGAAAGCTAAAAAATGAAATTTGAGTGATATTTGTCCTACTATTAAGAATATGTTGGCCAAAACTATGATGAAGGATGTTGCTAGTTATATTCCTAAAAAGTAAAAAACATGGAATTATGAAGTCATTGGACCTATCGAAGGTAATACTTGGGTTATTGACTTATATAAGAAAACATGTAGCTGTAGGAAATGAGAACATTCGGGAATTCCTTGTAAGTATGCTATATCGGATTGGTTGAAAAAGGATGAGGTTCTAGACTATGTTGATGATTGCTACAAGATCAAGACATATAGAAAAATTTATGAAGTCTTCATATTGAATATGAATGGCCCTGATTATTGGCCTAAGTCATCAAATTCTCCACCATTGCCACCTTCTTACTTGAAGAAGAAGAAAGGAAGGAAACAAAAATTAAGATGGAAAGACTTCTCTCAGCAGAAGAGCCTGACTTTTTATTATATTAGTAAAGCGCTAGCGCCCAATCTATACAAGGGCTTTGAAGGGATAGGGGAAGAAAAGAAAACAAAAGGTGATGAGCAAGGAGCTAGTAGGACGAAGTTAAAAAGAGACCAAAATCAGTTGATTGTAAGAAATGTGGCAGGCCTGCCCACAACAGTAGAACTTGCACTTCTTCCTTAGATGCTATTGAAATTCATCCATCAAACTACCCTTGTAGTTTGGACTCCATTATGGCTGAGGGAGCGTCAAATTTTCATAACGTTGAAAAGCTACCGGTAAAAAAATTTATTTCAGTTTTTATTATTTATTACAGTTTACAACTAAAGAGAGTCATATTTAGTGTTTTAATTTGTTCTTTCAGGTTAGAAGAGGTGCATCGTTGGTCATGCAAAAAAGTTGTATCTTTCCATCATCTCGACAAAATAAAAATTCTTGAAGAATTTTGCCTTCTTATTATATTGAAGAAATATTGATACTTTCTTGTCTTTAATTCGTTTTCTGGTGTTTGAAGTTTTTTTATTTCTTATTAAAAAGCTACTGGTTTCTGCGTTGGTGTTATGTTGCTGGTTTTTATCTTTAATTAATCAATGGTATTGTAGTATATGCATACTTATTTTAATATAAGACTACTTTTTATTGAACTTGTACATACATAACAAATCTAATATAAAACTGCAAATAAGGAATAGTACAATCAGATTTTGCCTCAATTTTTCCTCTCGAATTTTAAGACTATTCGATGCTCTTGTTTAACCACGACATCCAATTTCTCCAATTTGCTTCTCATTGCTGCAACGATCTTTAAATTGTACTTCGCGATCAACCCCTTCAATTTCCTGAGAGTTTTTGAATCACATGAAGGATCTTACATTATGCTATTCCACTAGTGTTGCTGCCGGTGGCGGATTCAGGATTTTAACTAAGGGGAGTCAAAATATAAATAAGTAAGCACACAAAAAAATCAAGGGGAGTCAACGTATAGTATATACACATAAAATTAAGAATTTAACATATTTATATAGTGTAATTTTCCGGCGAAGGGGTGTCAATTGACTCCCATTGCATATCTCTGTGAAGAAATGGTCTTTGATGTAACCTTGTAACTAGAAAAATATTTTCTTTTGCGGCAGAAAATGTAGTTATCTAATGTAGACTCCCGAAATTAACAATTCTAATTCTGGATGAAGAACTTCTAAACTAATATCTTCTTCTCCAATATTTTCTTTTGGGGAAAAATGAGTGCAACATTGGGATTATTCAAACCAGAACGAGAAAAGAAATAACATTAGTAAATTTGTTTGACATTTTAACAAACAGGTAAGGGAGTTGGTTACTTCTAATTGTCCTTTACACATGCAGTAATCCCTTTCAAATTAAAGTGACAAAGAAGACGTACAGTAAGAAGCCAAATACATTAACAAAACTAATTCAGTTGAGAAATAGCAAAAATCGTAGTAATAGAATTGAAAAATCTCTAACTTTTTGACTATTGATTATTTACCTTGTTTGTGAGGCATGAAAAAATAGCCCTTGCTTCTCTTTTTGCTCAGGAGTTTGCCCTAGATAATTCTCTGAATTTCATATGGAAAGAAACTTTATTTTTTGATGCCTTAGTCTTTTTTGGTGAAGGTGGTAGACGATTAGGCAGGAGGGGCATTCTTGAACAATTTAGCGGAAAACCCACGTGTAGGAGTGGAAAACGGGCAGGTTGGGTCGGATATGGTTCGGGTCGAAAACGGATAAATTATCCAACCCGACTCATATTTAATACGGATAAAAAACGGGTTAGCCGGCGGATAATATTGGTAACCATATTATCCATGACTTCTTGCATATGATCACTTTTGGGAGAATTATTAGTCTACCTAACTTGAGGAACCTCCAATTTGAGGCTTTACAAATGTAAAAGTTAGACCGATTGGTTATTCATTTTCTAAATGGATAATAGGGTTCTTATGCATATTTGACCCGTTTTAAACAAGTTCATTATCCAACCCATTTTTTAGTGGATAATATGGGTGGTTAATTGTTTTCTTTTAACCATTTTGCCACCCCTACCTACGTGCTTGGCATGCTCTTTTGCTTAGTTAGCCGTTAGTTTTCCTGTCAAATATTAACGGAAGGATGATTCTTGCAATAGCTTAAATAGCATAAGGATTTTTTTGTTCACTAAGGCATCACAAGGATGTACTTTAGGTTTGGGCTATATAGTTCAAGGATGATTTTTGCCAAAAACTCTGTATCATAATTATGAAATCACTTTCCTTTATTCATAGATAGACCTTTGTGGTTGGACCCCGCGCATCACGCATAGAGGGAGCTTAGTGCACCATACTAGTGGCCTCACCTTTATTTAACGATACGGGGCATCAACTTGGAGACTGTCACATCCTGTGGTCTCTTCTAACTTGTTTTTTAATGTTGAGAGCTGAATCCTGAAGTGACTTACTGCAATAACCCAATTTATCTCACCATTAAACTTGTTTTTTTGTAGTCTGCGTACATATTACCCTCCCCAAACCCCACTTGTGGGATTATACTGGGTCGTTGTTGTTGTTGTTGTTGTACTTCTCCTTTTAGTAACCACTACTAGGCTTCTGTTCACTAGATCGTTCAAACAAATTTTAGATGCTTCCTCCATGTTCTCTGTGTCCATTACCTGTACAAAATTTTCACCCATCCACAACTTTTACAAAACTTTCACCCATCCACAATTTTAGTAAATCGGATACTGGAAATTTGTGGTCTTCTGGAAACAACCCCATGTAAAGAAGGATAGGCTTTGAATGGTCTTCCAAATTGTCACAACTTGACTCTATTATCTTCATGCTTTGCTCTTCTGAAGCATGGGAACTTAAATCGTTTGCGACCTCAAGCCATAAAGAGGCTTGCCTTTTCTCTGCAATAGTTCCAGCAATCAAGACGATCACAAGTGGTAACCCTTTGCAATTTTTGGCAATTCGTTGTCCTTCTCTGAGTAGCTCGGGGGGACAGATCTCTCCTTGAAATACTTTCTTCTGGAATAATTCCCAACTCTCATCCACTGTGAGAAATCTAAGAGAATATGGATTACTATGGTGCTTAAGCTGCCAACCCACTTCTTCATTTCGAGTTGTTACCAGTATTCTGCTTCCATTTTCATCATGTGGGAAAGATAATTGCAACTCTTCCCATGCCTTAACTTCCCATATATCATCTAATACAATGAGATATCTCCTGCGCATTATATTCTTTCGCAACTTGTCAGGCATGTCTTCATCTTTGATATCATCCAAATTGCCTATGACTTGTTTAAGAATCTGCAAGAACACCTTCATCAAACTATATTCCTTAGATATAGAGCACCATGCTCGGACGTCAAAGTGTCTATATATTATCAATAAAATGATTGAACACCTTTCTAGCCAAAGTTGTTTTGCCTAATCCATGCATTCCAACAATCGAGACAACGTCTACTTCCTTTGTTCCTCCAGTCAATTATATTGTTGAATTATACTATGTGCATCATCCTCAAATTCTACTACTTCCTCATCGATTGATGTCGTTGCATGAGCAGTAGTTCTTTCACCAGTCAGAACCTTCTCCATGTCAATTAGATTGGTCTCTTTACAGCTGTTGGAAGTAAATATAACAATGTTAGAACCGATTGCTCGCCTTAGATTTAGATAGATTGCCAATTCTTGACCTACGAAAGTTTTTGTTTCAAGTTAACGAAGATTTCTCAGATGTATGTAACAGTCCAAATATGCATCCTTGTCCCGCAACTTTCAACTAACATCTTTTAACTATGTTAGCAATATTAGACTCAATAGTAGGAGTACTCTTTAATACACAGTTTATCCATACAAATTCATATTATTCAGGTCAAAAATAAAAAGAGAATCTAAGAAAACCAATCTTTTTTTCGTCCTTGTTCTTCTACATCAGTGGTATGAAGACCGAAACTATTTAAAGAAAAAAATATTTTATATAGACAAAACAAAAAAATAGTCTAGTGCACAAAGCATCTTGCATTTATGCAGGATTCAAGGAATGACCGCACTTCAAGGGGTGTGACAGCCTACCCTAATGCAAGCAATATTGGCTACTTCCAGGGTTTGAACTCGTGACCTATAGGTCACACGGAGACAACTTTATCGTTGCTCCAAGTTTCATTTATATATTACTCGTCTTAGAGTACGCGCGATGCACGTGAATCCTGTCTCAATGAGTATAATATTTAAAATATAGTACTAAGTTATAAAATAAAAGTGTAAGTTCCTTAAGATGATCATGAATATTAATTGTGTATAACTAACTCAATAATTAAAAGAAATATCTTATGAGTCCTCAACATAAATAATTTAACTTAAAATTTATTTCAACTTTACAATTTCAGAATTTCAGTTTCACGGGCAAGAACTTTGAAAATCTAAATAATCTTGCAGGATACAATTTACAACATATATTCAGGTAACTAATAATCTACGAACTTTAAATTAACACAAAATCAAAGTACAATAATAAAGAAAAAGGGACATTTAAAAAAAAAAAGCTAGTAAGAGAATCTACAATTGAAATCTAGCTAATAAACTCACTCATATTTAGCTAAATGTAACATGGATTAAAAATTAAAGAATCTCATAAATTATCTTGTTAATTTTACGTCTTTTATTGATTTCTGCTCAACATTGCTCATAAGTATAATAGTGTATTTAAAACTTTTGAAAGTTAAAAGTATAATATTGAATAATATTATTAGTGAAATAGTCTTGTTATTTTTAAAAAGTGAACTAAATACTCTATTGTCCAAGAACTCGTACCTCTTCTTTTTTAAATCATTTTGTTTTACCTTTATTTTATTTTCTTATCATTTATATATAGTTTACGCGTTAGACTTATACAAAGTTTGAAATCAAAAGAAAAAACAAATTTTAACTTCCTCCATGGTTCATATAAGAAATAAATTAATAAGTAACTTTTAATTAATTTTAAGCTCTAAAATTTTAAAAAAATTAATTAAATAACTATTATATGAAATGTTTCTTATAATATTTAACATAAAATTGAGGAACTTCAGAATATATTTTTATGTGTGATAAAGATCAAGTTTGAAATGAAAAGAAAAAACATTAGTTTTAAATTTTAGTCCTTTATTGTATGTAACTATTATTTCATAAATAAAAAGTATTCTATTAAGTTTAAGAAACTCACGTTTTCTTATTAATTTATATATGTTATGTAAGAAAGTCAATTTTTAAACTCACGGTAGTAATTAGGACTTCTTATTTAGTTCAATAAGGAAATATTAAAATTTTAGGTGATTCAAATACCCTAATTATTAGGAAAGCAACTTAAATTACAATTATGTCCAATGTAAAATTTATTTTTAGAGGGTAAAAAAGACGAACGACATTTCGCTAAGGGTCTTCGTACTTTTAATATAGTATAGATATAGATATAGATAGATATATAGACAGCAAAAACCAAAAAAATAATAAAAAATAATAATAATAATAATAATAATAATAATTACCTTCAATTACGAGAGTGGCTGCAGATAATTAATTGCTAGATAGTTCTTTAGCTATATGGTTCTGTACAGAATTACAGAAATGGAGGAGCTAGCTGAGATAGGAAAGCTGGAGATGGTGTGACGGCAATGTTGAAGAGTGTGATCAAACAAACATTTGCTGATGCTCAATGATTTAACTTTACTAGAATGCTCGATCTTAGAAAAAGTACTTGTATAGAATAACTATAATAAAGTTTTGTCTCACTTTAGTCATTCAGTAATAAACTTTTGAGCTGGACTCAATTAGGTAACAGTCCATTCCACTGTACAGAGTTAAAGTATTTTATTTACTTTTATCCGATATTTAATATCTGCATTGAAGTTCGACTAATTCGGATTCGCACAAAAAAATTCATATTAAAAGGATAAAACGCTCCATAACAAGAGGGTGCCTTGTTAGATATTGGTTGTCCTGCCTTCAAACTAAAGGTGTTAATCGGGCTGGATTGGCCCGTTATCGACCCGGTTCGATCTGATATGGCCCAAATTGTTAGAATTTTGTCATGATTTTTTTACCAAATTTGATATTACCTTTTCTTGAAGGAAGGATAAAAAATTTACCATAATTGGTTTTACTTTTCCTAAAAGAAAAATATAGATCTCTTCCATATTTGACAGATTTATTTCTTAGAGGAAAATGTTGTGGCCTCTACAAATTAAGAATCCTTCCTTCACACAATAATATAATAGCATCCACAATGTAATCATTACGAGAGTTTTATTTTAGGGGAGCGTATTCTTTCGATTTTTTTTAATATTAATTTTCTCATATGTAGGTCAATTGAGTGCAAGTTCAGTGCCGAGCCGAGGGAAGCTGGCATGGATGTAAAGCTTGGATCGCAGGTCATTCCCAAGAGAGGCAATTTCAAGTACCTTGGGTCAGTTATCTAGGGGGATGGGGAGATCGACGAGGATTTCATACACCTGAGGTGGGGTGGATGAAATGGAGGTTAGCATCTGGAGTCTTGTGTGACAAGAAAGTGCCACCGTACTCAAAGGTAAGTTTTATAGAGCGGTGGTTAGACCGGCCATATTGTATGTGGCTGAGTGTTGACCAGTTAAGAACTCACATATCCATAAGACGAAAGTAACAAAAATGAGGATGTTGAAGTGGATATGCGGGTATACTAGAATGGATGAAATTAGGAATGAAGATATTCGGGAGAAGGTGGGCATGGCTCCCATGGATGACAAAATACGGGAAACGAGGCTTAGATAATACGGGCATGTACAAAGGAGAAGCCCAGATACCCCGCTAAGAAGGTGCGAGTGGTTGGCGTTGGCGGGTACGATGAGAGGTAGAGGGCGACCTAAGAAGTACTGGGGATAAGTGATCAGGCGGGATATAGTGAGGCTTCAGATCTCCGAGAACATAGCCCTCGATAGGAGGCTGTGGAGGTCGAGTATTAAGGTTGTAGGTTAGGAAGTAGTTGAGCATATTTCTAACTCGTATCAGTGTGAGGCTAGTCTGATAGAATTTTGTCTTAGACTGCTAGTGGTCAATGTTATGTTCACACTATCTTTCTGTTTTCATACTGCCAGTCCTTATTTATTGGTTATTGTTAGGGGTGGGCATAAAATCCGAAAAACCGAATTCCGAACCGAACCAAATTAATTTGGTATTTCGGTTTCGGTTTTTTCGGTATTTCGATATTTCGGTTCGGTTCTCGGTATTATAATTTTACAATTTCGGTAAATCGAAATACCGAAAATTTGGTGAACCTATATAATATATATGACTATATCTAAGCCTAATTACCTATATAATATATATTAGACTAAGCCCATACCGTCCCGGCGTCCTACCCAGGCCCAACTCCCCCAACTCCCAAGCCCAATCTCAATTACCCAAGTCAGTTAATACCCAAGCCCATTACTCTTCCTCTCTAATAGACAGTCTAATAGTCGAGAATCAAATTAGGCATCTGAATCAAATTAGGGCATTAGCCATTAGGGCTTAGGATATCATCGAGAATCGACTGCGAGTCTACGAGTTACGACTTACGACCAGTCGACAGTCGAGCTCGAGTCTCATCTCATCTTCACCGGTTAACTTCATTACTTTTGTAAGTTTTGTAAGTCTCATCTCATCTCATTCTCATCCCAGTACTCTCTGAGGTTTTTTCTGAGTTTTTATATTTTTAAGTTTTGAACTTTTTGAGTTCAGAGTTCAGACGCATAAATTTTTTAATTTCTGATTTTTTGCATCAAACTAATTTAGGGTTATAGGCGGCGATTTCCAGCTCGAGTCGATTCCTCACTCCTCACAAATTCCGGGTAAACGAAGTGTCGAAGACGCTGCTGTCCTGTTCCAGTGTTCCGAGCTCGATTCAATTTCAATTTCAAAGGTATGTTTTGTTTTCTTTTGGTTGTACTGCTGATTGAATGAACTGCTATTCCGAGCTTTTCCCTTTAGTAGGAAAATATCATCTGTATAACGTTCATGTTGTTTAATTCATTTGCTTGTATATTAACAGTTGTGAGTACACGACTATGTGTTAGGCTTACCATATGATTACTTTGTTTAGGTCTGATTTTTAGAACTTTCCTTGCATTTTTCTTGTGATAGACACTTTAGGATGATGACAGTTGAGTGAATTCACTGTTAGTCTTCTTTGTTGTGACATTCCTATGGTTGCTGGTTTGGAAAGATTTAAATAAGTGTGGACTTGTCACTTGAGTAGTAATGGCCATGATTTTTTATTTATTTATAGATGGCTAGAAAAGGATATTGTTAATGGCTTCTTTAGCCTTTTTAGCTTTTGCTTAGCTGCAATTACATTAGACTGTTGCTGCATCTGTTGGAAAGATATTGTTAATTCGTTAAGCAGAAACATGGTAGTTTAAGCTACTTATAGCTAGTTTGAAATAACTAAAATCTAAAAGTGCACTCTCATATTTACATTCTCTCAGCATTACTAATAGCAAGGTAGTTAATTTGTTGATTGTTAATTTATGTTTATATTTATTTAATTTTATATATATGGAAGATACAAGTAAAGTAAGTGATGTTGGTCCTAGTGAAAGTTTACCTATTACGGTAGATAGTAACACCAACACCATTGATACTCAAGATTCCAAGAAAAGGAAAGCAATGCAACCTAGGTCTGACGTTTGGAACCATTTTGATAAATTCGAGGTTAATGGGGTTGGTAAAGCACGGTGTCGATATTGTAAACAAGCTTATGCTGCTAATTCATCTAAGAATGGAACAACAGGATTGAAGAATCATTTGCTTAGATGCAAAGAATACCTACTTAAAATTGCAGAAGATAATAGTCAAACAAAGATAAATTTTCAACTNGTCTTGCGCGTCTTCCTGGAATTCATGTTTAAGAATTAAGACTGTTTGTTGAGGGATGCCCTCTTTGTTTTTGTTGCACTATGTTTAACTGTTTAAGTGTTAAGAGTGTTAAGACTGTTGCAGTTGGCCAGTTGCACTGTGTTTAAGTGTTAAGACTGTTTTTGTTGCACTGTGTTTTTATTGCATTGTGTTTAAGTGTTAAGTGTTAAGTTGTGTAATGTGTAGTTGTGTACAGATTCAATTGTGTACTGTGTTAAGTGTTAAGTTGTGTAATGTGTTGTGTAGTTGTGTACAGATTCAATTGTGTATTGTGTTAAGTGTTAAGTTGTGTAATGTGCAGTTGGCCAGTTGATTGCAGTATTGAACTGTCAACTGTGTTTAAGTTGTTTAATATAGTTGTGTAATGTGCATTGTGCAGTTGGCCAGCTTTTGCTTTTCACTTGTATACTAATACTGGCGTGCAGAATGCAGATTGTAATATTGTATAATATGATATATAGTATACTGGTGTGCAACTGCAGATTGCCAGATTGTAAAGAAGTTGTTGTCTTGTTCAGCTTTTGCTTTTTACTTATTCAATTGTGCATGACTGCATGTGCCATCAGATCAGCCATGTGCAGTTGTGCACTGTTATATATCGGAAAACGGATTCTTTTAGAGTGAAAATTTCAATTGTGCATGTCACTGTTAGCATTGATTATTCATTGATTGTTAAACCGAAACCGTACCGAACCAAAATAAGAAATACCGAACCGTACCGAAATATTTTGGTATGGTATTTGGTATACACAATTGATAAACCGAATTCCGAAATACCGAATCGAAATTCTTAAATACCGAACCGAAATACCGAACACCCACCCCTAGTTATTGTTTGTTTTCCATCTATTTACTGGTTATTGTTTGCTTTCCATCTATTTTCGGCCCGCTTAAGGGTAATATTTTTTTAAGAAAATAAGACAAGACAATTGGCAANATGTCTAATTAGAGTGTCGTGGCTATTCATATGATAACACTAGGATTTGTGAGCCGCTAAGTTTTTTTTTTTTTTTTTTTTTTTTTTTTTTTTTTTTTTTTTTGCTGAAATAGCCATTCGGCCTTCCACCATTAAAAAATAGCCTCCACCCTAATAATTGAAAAATTACAATTTTAACCTTCTAAAAGTATAAATAGTTCCCCTCTTCTTTATTTTTTCTCACAATAATCTCTCATTCTCTGTATTCTTTATATTTGCTATATTCTCTCTTGAATTACTATCAATTAATTACTATTCCAACTTTATTTCAATTTTTAATTACAGTTGTTACTACGAAATTATAATTATCAAGTGAAGACTTGAAGTGTGCTATTGCAATTTGCGAGTTTCAAATTCAAAATTAGTGTGGCATCTCGATGCACTCGTCCATCTCTTTCTCTTCTTTGGTTTTTATTTATTTTATTATTTAAAATTATTAATTTAGTTATTTTAATTTAATTTGCACAATGGACATACTTAGAGCAGCAAAAAAAAAAATGTAATAAAGGTGGTAGTGGTAATACTAAAAAATAAAAGGTGGTTCTTGTAGTACTAGTAACACACATATTTCTAACATCACCTGAGGATATAAATGTAGATGATGATTTAGATAATATTAAGTCACCTGATAATCTTGAAATACCACTTGTTAGACAAACTAATATGTCATGCCATAATATAAGTAGGCCGCCTCTCCCAATTAAGAGAAACCGAAGAATGAGAAGTGAGTGTTGGAATTTTTTTTACTAGACCGAAGATAATAAGGATTATTTAAAATGTGTGATTTGTAATGAAGTTTATAAACATGAG